TTCTTTCTTTCTCTCTATTCTTTCTTTTTCTTTCTTTCCTTTCTTTCTCTTTCTTTATCTTTGGCTTCTCTTTCTCCTTTTTTCTTTCTCTTTTCTTTCTTTCCTTTTCTTTTTGGCTTCTCTTTCTCTTTCTTTCTCTTTTCTTTCTCCTTTCTTTTTCTCCTTTTTTCTTTCTTGGCTTCTTTTTTCTTTCTCCTTTCTTTTCTTTCTTTCTTTCTCTTTGGCTCTTTCTCTTTCTCTTTTCTTTCTCTTTTTTCTTTCTCTTTTCTTTTCTTTCTCTTTTCTCTTCTTTCTCTTCTTTCTCTCTTTCTCTCTTTCTTTCTCTTTTTCTTTCTTCTCTTTCTTTTATCTTTTCTTCTCTTTCTCCTTTCTTTTTCTTCTTTTCTTTTCCTTTCTTTCTTTCTTTCTCTTCTTCTCTTTCTCTCTTTTTCTCTTTCTTTTTTTCTTTCTCTTTTCTTTTCCTTTCTTTCTTATCTTTTTTATTCTTTTTCTTTCTCCTCTTCTTTCTTTTCTTTCTCCTTTTTTCTCCTTTTCTTTCTTTCTCTTACCTTTGGCTTTCTTTCTCTTTTCTTTCTCTTTCTTTCCTTTCTTTCTCTTTTCTTTCTTTCCTTTTTCTTTTCTCTTTTATCTTTGGCTTCTCATTTCTCTTCTTTCTTTCTCCTTTCTTTCTTCTCTTTTCTTTCTCCTCTTTTCTTTTTCTCTTTTCTTTGGCTTCTCTTTCTCCTTTCTTTTCTCTTTTTCTTTCTCCTTTCTTTCTCTTTTCTTTCTCTTTTTCTTTTCTTCCCTTTCTCTCTTCTTTCTCTTTTCTTTTCCTTTCTTTTCTTTCTCCTTTCTTTCTCTTATCTTTCTTTTCTTTCTCTTTCTTTCTCTTTTCTTTCTCCTTTCTCTTTTCTTTTCTCCTTTCTTTTCTCTTACCTTTCTTTTTCTCCTTTCTTTCTTTTTCTTTTCTTTTTCTCTCTTTTCTTTCTCCTTTCTTTCTCTTTTCTTTCTCTTTTGGCTTTTCTCTCTTCTTTTCTTTCTCTTTTCTTTCTCTTTTCTTTCTCTCTTTGGCTTCTCTTTTCTTTTCTCTTTCTTTCTCTTATCTTTTCCTTTCTTTTCTTTTTCTCCTTTCTTTCTCTTATCTTTGGCTTTCTCTTTCTTTCCTTTCTTTTTTTTCTTTCTTCTTTTCTCCTTTTCCTTTTTTCTCCTATCTTTTTTTTCTCCCTTTTTCTCTCTTCTTTCTCCTTTCTTTCTCTTTTCTTTCTCTTCTCTTTCTCTCTTCTTTCTCCTTTCTTTCTCTTATTTTTGGCTTCTCTTTCTCTCTTCTTTCTCTTTTCTTTCTCCTTTCTTTCTCTTTTCTTTCTCTTTTCTTTCTCTTATCTTTTCCTTTCTTTTTCTTTCTTTCTTCTCTTTCTCTCTTCTTTCTCTTTTCTTTCTCTTTGGCTTCTCTTTCTCTCTTCTTTTTCTCTTCTTTTCTTTCTCTTTCTTCTTTCTTCTCCTCTTTTTCTTTCTCTTTTCTTTCTCCTTTCTTTTCTCTTTGGCTCCCCTTTTTCTTCTTTCTCCTTTCTTTCTCTTTTCTTTCTTCTCTTTTCTTTCTTTCTCTTTTCTTTCTTTTTTGGCTTCTTCTTTCTTTTTCTTTCTCTTTCTTTCTCTTTTCTCTTTCTCCTTTCTTTCTTTCTTTTCTCTTTCTCTTTTCTTTCTCTTATCTTTTTTTTCTTTTCCTTCTTTCTCTTTCTTCTTTCTTCCTTTTCTCTTATCTTTCTCTTTCTTTCTCTTTCTCTCTTCTTTTCTCTTCTTTCTTTTCTTTCTCTTTTTTTTTCTCTTTGGCTTTCTCTTTTCTCTCTTTTCTTTCTTTCTCCTTTCTTTCTCTTATCTTTCTCTCCTCTTTTCTCCTTTTCTTTCTCTTTTCTTCTCTTTGGCTTTCTTTCTTCTTCTTTCTTCTCCTTTCTCTTTCATCTTTCTCCTTTCTTTCTCTTATCTTTGGCTTCCCTTTCTCTTTTCTTTTTCCTTCTTTCCCCTTTTCTCCTCATTCTTTTTTTCTGCTTCAATTATTTCTTTTCCTCTATTTCCCTCTCTTTTCGTATTTCTGTCTTTTGCTCTCAAGTATCTCCGCCTCTCTTTTTCTTTCTCTTTCTCTCTCTTTCTCGATATATATACATACATACATATATATATATATATATATATATATATATATATAGCTTTTCCCTCTTCGTTTACATCTCGTTCTCTTTCTCCCTCTTTTTCCCCTTTTTTCTTTCTCACTCTTTGTTTCTGTTTCTTCTTACTCCATTTCTTTCTCTCTATTTTAATATTTCTTTTCGACCTTCGTTTTCTACCTGTTTCCCCCTTCATCTCTCTCCCTCTCTCTTTCTCTCTCTCTCTCTCTATCTCCTGAATTTATCTTTGTTTTCTTTCTCCGTTTTTCTCCCTAATCCCCATCTATATATATATATATATATATATATATATATATATATATATATATATATATATCCATTTATATTTACTTATCATACTGTCCACTGGAAATACAAACCTGAATTCATTTTATTACATGGAGGACTGCATGCTTATCCGAAGATACATGAATCTACTAGTCTCCGCGTATTCCTATGAGAACAGAAAAGATTTTCTAACAAACTGTATATATGAAAAATCTTTCCATCGGAATCAAATTTATAAAAATTTTAAGAATACGTTTTGAAAGCGTCGCCCATTTGACGACAACGTGACCACGCTCAAACGGAAAGCTGATCATTTAAAATTTTCATTTATTTTTTGGATAAGACTTGTTTTTATGTCCATCGTTTTCGTCGTGTTATACTGATTGTGTTAATTGTATTTTTAATGAATATTGTCCTGAAGAAGGTTATTAAACCGAAACGTCAGACGTCGACATTTCATTCATATTAAAACAACATAATCGCATTTTAAGGATTTTTGTTTTGTTTTTCCAGATATTTTCTTCATATATATGTATATATATATATATATATATATATATATATATATATATATATATAAATTACAAATAAATGAAATTCAAAAAATACCCCATCTGAATGGCCATTTCTTTTCCACAAGAGTTTGTCAACACTAAAAAGTAATAAAATATTTTTTTTTTAAATTTAAAAAGGGAGGAAAAGAAAGGAAAGGCTACAAATAAGGGAAAAGGGATCTAAAATTGAGGAAAAAGAAAAACAAAGAGAAAGAAGGGAAAAGAAGAAAGTAAAGTTGGGTAGAGAAGGAACAGGTGGAATAATGATTAAAGATGGTTGAAAATTTGACATCAGAAAAATTAACCTTGACCTATATTTCAAAAAATTAACCTTGAACTATATTTCAAATGTGAACACTTGTGTTCAAACAAGAAAAATTACATAAGCAGTTCCAATCTTTAAAATAAAGTGAAGGTTTTAAGATTATGTAAAAATGTTGTAAAATGTTAATATTATAAACTAAGCTAAATAAAAGATTAGTAGTATATAGGAAAAATTAAAAACGGAATATTAATTTTAATATATGTATGTTAATTAATATATATATATATATATATATATATATATATATATATATATATATATATATATACATACATACATACATACGTATACGTTCTTTTATAGATATAAATATTTAAGTAAATGCTCAGTTTATAATAAACAGTATTAACAACATGTACCGGCCTGAATGTTTGAGAAATTTCCATAAATATATGCGTCCTCCGACAGGAATCGAACCTGTATCCTATACGGAACCGTCATATAGCCTGACGTGCCTTTATATATATATATATATATATATATATATATATATATATATATATATATATATATATATATATATATATATATATATATATATATATATTAGATAGTGGGTAGGATTAAGGAATGGGGGAGCCGAGTTCGAATTCAGTCGTATCCATTACATTCACTTACGTACTAATACCCTTGGGAAATGTATTAATTTTCTTCTCTAGCTACGGTAAATAGCAGGAGAGACTGAGTTCTATAGCCTTGGGTGGCAACTGGTCTAAGAGTAGGTCAACTCTGAATTCAAACCTTGCGGAGAGTCGTTTGGGGACCTTGTGGCACGTAGTGCACCATGTCTTTGTATTCGGCTCTTTAAAAAGTGTGGTTGGTTCTGCACAAAGCCTTCACCACTATAATCAAATAATATGTGCTGGTGTCTGGGCTGTCAGTTCATAGGAACTGAGATGCTTGACCCTCATGCGTCGAATACGACGGGAGAGTCCAATATATATATTAACAGTTGTTTTGTTGAACCGATCCCCAAGAAGATATTTCTCCGATGACTACAATCTTAACCTGCCCAAGCTGTCCTTTTCTCTGTAATCCACTGCCTCACGGGGATCTCGGTATTCCGATTCGCCTTTGAATTTCATTGCCACATTTTCCTTCCTCTGCTAAACACTTCTTAGATATTTAAATGTTTCTACTTGCTTGATTTTGGCATCTATAATTTATCGGTAACATCTTCGAATCTCCCTCTGATATCTATATCTTCTGTCTTCCTACAACTGATGCTTAGTCCTTTCTTCACACTTTCTTTTGCTAAGTTCTCTAGGTGTGCTCCTGGAGTTTCGTTTCTGTGTCTCCTATCAACACTGCCATTTGTATACATTGTTGTTAAGGTTGTGACCGCCAATAAAAAATGGTGATGGATCTTCTAATTCTTTCAGGATCGTCTCACAGTAAAAAAATAAAATGTTAAATAGGTCTAGTGAAAAAATACATCCTTGTTTTACGCTACTTTAGGGGTTATAATAATTTTCAATTACCATCAGTTATAATAACAATGTTAACCTCTCTTTTTTCAGATAGTAACGCAAATAAAAATATGCCATATTGCTGTATAATACCAATCTTTCTATATAGTAGTGGACGATATTCTCAGCATCCATTGTAGTGTTCATGACATTCTCAGTATCCTTCTGTAGAAGCACATTTTTATTGCGTCAAATCTTTTTAGTAGGTGGAGGAAAAAATCAAACAATTATATTCTGATTCCGAAAAGAATAGGTATTGAGCAAAATCTCAAGGGAAAATTGACTCAGAGGGAGGTGTTGCAATGGAATGTCCCACACTCCTTATCGCCTATGTGGACTGACAATATCAATAGCTATATAAGGTAAGCACAGACAGAGAGGATCCCAGACGAGGCTATGCCAAAGAGCAGAGTTTCATCTGGTGTGGTAGACAGCTACCGGACCCCGTTTTTTACGGGTTCTACGGGGAATTTTTGCCCGAGCCCACGGGCTCGGTTTTACACCGCATTAAATAACGGCCTTGTGCCACATCCTGCCTCGCGGGGTGGTGAGGTAAATAAACTTGCTTCGGCAATTATTTGGAGATTCGTCACCAGCTAAGCTGGTCGAACTCTCTGCTTTCGGGCGGAGAGGGACCCAGCCGAGGCTATGCCGAAGGGCAGAGACTCGTCTGGGGTGGTAGACAGCTACCCGGCCCTGTTTTTAACAGGGAATTTTTGCCCGAGCCTACGGACTCGGATACCCCACATAAAAATTCGGCCTTGTGCCAAATCTTACCGCGTGGGGCGGTTGGCAAATATCCTTGCTTCGGCAATTAGCTGGAGATTCGTCTCCAGCTGTGCTTGTCGAACTCTATGCCTTCGGGCGGAGATGAGCCCTGATGGGGCTGTGCCGAAGGGCAGAGTCTCATCTGGGGGTGGTAGACAGCTACCAGACCCCGTTTTTACTGGGGGTCTACGAAGAATTTTTGCTGAGCCCATTGGCTCGTTTTTAACGCCGCATTAAAAATGGCTTTGTGCTACATCCTGCCACGCGGGGGAGTAAGGTAAATATCCATGTTTCGCGAATTACTAGCCTGCCACCCGATTCCCTGTCTTTAAGTAGTGTATTCTCTTTTACAATAAATCTCTCTTCTTTCATCTACGCGCGTGAAGCTGTTCCTTCACTTGAGTACTAGTTTGTCTTTTTGTGACTTCTTTAAGAATAGAAACCTTTTCTTTAATTATGAAGAAATAGTCCAGCATTCACTACCGTATAAGATGACTGATATTACATAACAGTTCGATAGTTTTTTTTTCTTTGTTTCTAGCGAAATTTTCCTGTTTCTTAATTCTTTGTTTAGCTTTTGGAAGGCATCTTTCTCTATTCCGATTCGCCTTCGGATTTCAGTGCCACATTTTCCGTCCTCTGCTAAACAATTCGTAGATATTTAAATGTTTCTACTTGCTTTATTTTGGCATCTACAGTTCATAAGTAACATCTTAGACTCTCCCTCTTGCTAACATCTGTATCTTCTGTCTTCCTACAATTGATGCTTAGTCCTTTCTTCACACTTTGCTTTGCTACGTTTTCTAGGTGTGGTCTTGCTGTTTCTTTTCTGTGCCTGCTGCCAATCATTACATCTGCATATATTATGATGCTACCAAGAAAAATAAAATTATTTTTTTCATATTTGTTAATGACGCCAAAGATGGACGTCGAATTTGATAAATTCCTAAAATAAAAAATTAAAAATACAAGAATAAAAGAAAAAAGAAAAAGGAATAGAAAGAAAGAAAGAAAGAAAGAAAGAAAGAAAGAAATGCCTGAGGGCGGGAGTTGATCTTTGTGTGGCTGTTTTAAAATATTTTGCTAGTGTCTTCATATTTATTTATTTTCAAATTTGAACAGAAAAAATGTGTTTGTATTTACCCCATCTGTCTTGTAACCAGCCCGTTCAGATTGTAGATAGCAGAGACCCTGTGAACTGGGGCATCTTCGAAGAATCACTCGTCAGCCATAGACTGAAGACAAAAGAACTCAATTTTATTTTCATTGAGTTCAAAATTTTAATAAAAATCGAAAATTGTCATTTAGGAAAAACAAATGTGAAACATGAGTGCTTTCGTCCTACTTAAAGCGAAATGGGAAATATTTTAATTGTGTGTTTTGATTTCAAAATCTTTTTGATTATGAGACTATACATAATAGCTTCATTGCAAAACGAAAACACAAGAAGAAAATTTGTGACAATACTGTAAAGGGCAATTAAAACCGTGCATAATTTAAAAAAAATAATCATGGACAAAAAATAACAACAGTAACAGATATTATTATTAATATTATTTCCTTGGATTTCTGATGTATGCATATTTCCTTCCGGGTCCCAACCAGAGACCAAAGGTCAGAAATGGTTTTATAACATTTTCTACTGATCATTTTTCGAAAAAAAAAAAAAATAAGATCGCTCACGTTTTGGATTGATAATGCTCTTCGTAATGCGTGAGCTGTACTTGTGAGTACCATTTTTTTTTTGTATTTCTTTAAGGCATTCAATGAATATTTCTTTAATATTATCTATCAGACTCTTTTCGAATCAATTCGAGTGCTCCAACTGGAATTATTGATATTGATTGAGATTTCTACTTCAAGGTCCCTGTACTTTGATCGTTGTTGTTATTATTATTATTATTATTGTCATCATCATTCATTCGATTTACTTCTAGGACACACTACCTACCAAGGTCCCGGAAAGACCTAAGGCAGGTCGTGGTTGTTGTTATGGCCACATTATGTTAATTTTTTTTTTTTTTTTTTCCGATGAAGTTGCTAGCGTTACATAGACAAAGTTCTCCTTAGTTGTGTTGCTTACTTAATAAGACAATTTTTTGTATTTCTGGGGTTGTAGGTTCTTTCAATGTGTTGTTTTGTTCCATTTTTATAATTCCAAGTGCCTATTACCACTGGTTTATTATTATTATTATTATTATTAAGGTATTATTATTAATGGCATTTCTGGTGTGTACTCATTTCTTTTCCTACCCAGAGACCTAAGGTCAGAAATGGCATCATGACATTTTCCACCGGCTTATTTAAAAACAAAAGAACAACACACATATTTTACATAGATAAAGCCCTTCGTAAGGTGTCGGATGTACTCGTGAGAACAATTTTTGATATTTCTTTAAGGCATGGGCTACCCAGGAATCCCTTCAATGAGTCTATCGGACCCTTTCCGAATCAATCCGAGGGCTCCAACTGGAATTATTGATATTGATTGAGATTTCCACTTCAACGACCTTGTACTTTGTTCGTTATTATTATTATTATTATTATTATTATTATTATTATTTCCTCGGATTTCTGTTGTATACGGACTTTCTTCCGTGTCTCAACCAGGTCAGAAATGGTTTCATGACATTTTCAACTGATCAGTTTTGTAAAAAAAAAAATTAATATCACACACATTTTACAGATAAAGCTCTTCATAATTTGTGAGTTGTAATTGTGGGTACAATTTTTAATATTTCTTTAAGGCATAGGCTACCAGGAATCTCTTCAATGAGTTTATCGGACCCTTTTCCAATCAATCTGATAGCTCCAAATACAAATTATTATTAATTATTAATACAACTTATTGTTAATGTCCTCATATGCTACATTTTTGAAATTTCCATTTCAAGATCCTTGTATTTTTATAGTTTTTTTTTTTTTAAAGATTTTCATAGATACATTACAATCGGCAGGGACTGTCATGTAAATAAGAAAGCACATTCTGTTCTTGTGGTCTATGATCACAATTATTATTTATTGATTTATTTATTTACTTGCATATTCATACACTATCTCTAGTTTTAATATAAGTTTTATTGTAATTAACATGGACACATGGATAAAGGCGTTGGTTAGATCCAGTGACAGGACCCTAAGAGTGTGAGTTCAATACCTGGTTAAGGCAGTGGAGAACTTTCAGAGGGGAATTAACAGGAAATAACTGATAACTGACATCCATTAAACATGGCACGTAGAACTAGAACAGTCTAACCTAGTGAGCGAAATAAAGCGTTTAGTTCGACATTCCGACCACCTGAAGAAGGCTGGAGCGTACCACGGCCGAAACGTTGTAATAAATATGGCGACAAAGATGAGGACAATAGTCCGAGTAATGTAAATAGTGGACGTAAACACAATTTCAAACTTGACATTTGTAACTATTTACAATATTGTAATATTACATATTTAATGTCACACTCACAACTTTTCGGCTGTTGTACGCTCCGGCCTTCTTCAGGTTATATTTTTTTTGAATTTCGAACTGAACCCAGAATAGTGAATCTGTATGTTGGCGTTTCTGAAGATTGGTTCAATGATGTTTGTGTAGATGTTCTTCGCATGTTTATTTCTTCCTGAAATGGGCTGACATATGACCTTCACATTTCTGGGTCGCTCAGTAAAAGTTACCCACAATCTGTTCCATTGCTTCCACCCACCGATTGCAAATATCGTGGCAGGGATTGGCAAAGGTCATTTTTTTCCGCAGTTTGTTGTTACCCTGTCGTTTATAAATGGGAATTGCAATTCGAGTGCAAAAGCTGTCACCTTTCTTGTTGTTCGACATAGATTCTCAAACATTCAGGCCGGTAAAAGTAATTAATACCGTTTAATAAAAAAAAAAAATCAGAGCATTTCCCTGAATTGAGCACTGTCAGTCATTGGCATGTTTGTTCAAAGAGTAAGTACGTAAAAATTCGCCTTTCTTTCAATCGTGCGCTGATGGCCTAGGAGGAAAATCTCCGACTAATGTCAATCAATCGGGTTTCGATCCCGGCTTGAAGCAATCGGATGCCTTGCCACACTGATGAGCGGTGATATAGCGAAACAGTCAGTCTGTGGATGACAATATATACGCAACCGGAAAACTTAAATTCGGTTGTGCACTCTTGGAAGATAAGTGCTTATTTGACAACTGATATGAATTGAGCACATATATATATATATATGAGGGAAGTACGGTGGAGTAATGGATAGCGGCTTGGATTGAGGAATCGCAGAGCCGATTTCGAATTCCAGTCGGATCCATTACATTCACTTACGTGCTAATACCCTTGGGAAAGGTATGAATCCTCTTCATCTCCCTCCAGCTATGGGTAAAATAGCAGGACAGACTGGGTTCTATAGCCTTGGATGCCAACTGATCTAGGAGAAGGACAACTCTGAATTCAAAACCTGCGGAGGGTCGTTTGGGAACCTTGTGGCATTTGGTGCACCAGGTTTCTGTATTCGTCCCTCCAAAAAGTGTGGCTGGTCCTGCACGAGGCCTTCACCACTATAATCAAATCCCATGTGCCGGTGTCGGGATGTCGGTTTCCTGGAGACTTATCGGCCTGACCCTCTTACGTTGAACGCGACGGGAGAGTCGATTATATATATATATATACATACATTATGTATATATCATATATATATATATATTATGAAATGGACAAAGTCCGAGAATTATTTTGAGACATTTTTATATTTATACATTATTTTTATAGGTACATATAAAAAGAATGCATAAACATAAAAATGTCTTAAAATAATTGTCGGATTTTGTCCATTTCATAATGTGCGACATCATTTGTTTACATTTGATACGCCATGAGTAGATATGAATGTAATTGAGAGATTCATGGAAGATTGAAGTTTTAAAGACAGTATATTCGACTTTGATAACCGAACGTTCCTCTCTAGCCAAATCGGTTAAAGGCACGTCGGGCTATATGACGGTTCCGTATAGGATACAGGTTCGATTCCTTTCGGAAGACGAATATTTTCTATGAAAATTTCTCGGATATTCAGTTGTTTGTTTAATACTGTTTATTATAAACAGAGTATTTACTTAAATATTTGTATCTATAAAAGAATGTATAAACATAAAATGTCTTAATATATATATATATATATATATATATATATATATATATATGACATTTTATGTTTATACATTCTTTATATGTGTATATATATATATATATATATATATATATATATATATATATGACTACCGCACAAATACACATGCATTACATATTGTTTCAGTGTATATGCTTGAAAGACATTCCAAATTGTCTTATATATTTTACTGTCCGGAAAATTCAATAAAAATATCCATTTACACTATTTACATTGTTCGGACTGTTGTCCTGATCTTTATTGTTACGCTCACAACGTTTCGGCCGTTTTAGGCTCCGGCCTTCTTCAGGTGATATTTGTTGGAATTTTTGTTGGTATTTCGAACCGAACCCAGAGTAATCAATCTGTATGTTGGCGTTTCTGAAGATTGGTTAAAAAAAATGCGATAAAAAAAGAAAAGCTTGACTTTTGCCAATCCCTGTCACGATATTTGCTACCGTTTGGTGGAGCAAACGAAACAGATTTTCAGTGACTTTTGTGAGCGACCCAGCAAATGTAAAGGTCCTATGTCAGCCCATTTCAGGAAATAAACATGTGAATAACGTCTACACAAACGTCATCGAACCAATCTTCAGAAACGCCACCATAAAAATTGACTATTCTGGGTTCGGTTCGAAACTCAAAAAAAATCATCTGAAGAAGGTGGGGTGTACAACAGCCGAAACGTGACGAGTGTTATAATAAAGATGGAGAAAACAGTCCGAACAATGTAAATAGTGTAAATAATCACAATACCTCATCTCAGAAATGAAAACAGATCCTGAAGAGGGCCAGAGCATACAACGATCGAAACGTCATGAATATGACAACAAAGATGAGGAAAACAGTCAGAACAATGTAAATAATTACAATACTTCATCTCGGAAATATCGACAGAAGTTAATATTTGTAATTAAAAACAATGTACTTGAAGAAATCAGGGATCGATTTGACATTGTATTTATATTAAAAACATGACTCCCACTTGTAAAAAGATATATTTTTTTAATTCTGACAAGTGTGGTGGGTAAAGAAAATTTTAATGAATGGTAATCTACAAAAATTCTTCAGAAATTTTTTCACTGATTTTTTCCGAACGGACCATTTAACTTAAGTAGTACCCACAATTGTTTATTTAAGAGATATGAATTTTAAGTAATGTAACCGATAAACGACTTAAAATTCAATTTGTGTCGCAGTCCTTTAGCACGAAAGGATTTTTTTCTCAAATTGACAAATGAAAATTTCAAGCTTTTTTACTTCTTCCCTTTTAAAAGAAAAAGTAAGAACGTCACATTAACCGGCAGACAAAAATTTGTCATTTTTGTAACAGCCGATGAGGACGTCAATAATTCTTCCGCGGTGATGAGGAAACAAAACTGTCGTGAAGAGGCGCTTTTAAAGGGTCAAGTGGCTGATGAAAAACGTAGTTCCAAATCGAAAACAAAATGATTGATAGATTAGTCAGAAGAAGAAAACGTGCGAAAGAAAAAAGCCTGATAGAAATAATTGGCTGTGTAATTACGCTCCTGTGTTTCTCACGAGACGACAGCAATATGATGTGCGTTTTATCAACACTAAACAGTGACTCCCCCACGCCATCTTTGTTTCGGTCTCCTTGCTATCACTATTGATTGGTTAATTAATGATTCCCAATAATAATAATAATAATAATAACAATAATAATGAAATAGTGATTCAATGGCGAGGAAAATCAAGCAATGGAGAAAGTTATGCTTTAATCAAAGCAGCAGACGACAACAATTAAAAACGGGACCGACTGAAGGGGTACGGCATTATTTCACTCCATTTGATGTTCAAGTGTTTAAAATACCAGAAAGATCACGAACAAGTTGGAGATTTAACCTTGGCTTTCAGTGAAATCGTGACAAGTAAAAAAATAACACAAGGATGCGAGACACCGGGTTGGCGAGGAAGATAACGATTTGGTAAAGAAATTTTCCAAAGTGATTCATTTTCTTTTTAATTTCTCCAGTTTTCTATCTGGGCACTGGCATTAATTCTGCGTAAAAAAAAATTGTAACAGTGTTTCAGTTTTTATCAAAAATTTACAAGAGTTCGAAAAATATAATTCATTTACGATTTTGCAGGATGATTCAAGTATCTTTTAATTCGGCAACTTTGGAATCTATCTATTGGCGGATCACGCGAAATGCTGAAAAATGGAAACGTGTGAAAAATAGGACGATATATCCTTAACCTAACTTGCTAGGGAGATAATAAAATCATGCAAAATTCCTTTAACCTTTGAAATTTGATTATTACGCATATTTGTTGTTAAGTTCTTTTTTTAACACAAGAACCACTCAAAGTCTACGGCTATAATCGAAATGGTAAGGCTAAAAAAAGCGTGTCAATTAATGGAATAGAAGATTATGTGAATAAGAAGTATAGATAACGACTGACCCTTGACGGGAAGAAGTCACGACAAACATGTTCACCGTCCTGGGTAAGACGATAAACTACATCCAACAGCAAGGAGATTTTGAGGAAAGTGGAACCACCTCTTATTTTTGCTGTATGTCAAACCGAATTTAAATAAATTGGAATTATTTTTTTCTGATTATTATTTGTTGTAGTAGGATCCACCTAATTTGCATAGTGGAGTACCGACCATATAAATATGGTTTGTACCGGGAAGAGAGGGAGGAATCAAGAGATTCAACCAGGGCTCTGCCCGACTGCGACTCAGTCAACACATTCTCCAGGAACGGTCTTCCCAGGAATATACAAAAGACTATATGTAAATATTGTGTACACTTTCTTGTTTCAATACATTTTGTTCTAAGTACATTTTGTGTTGCATTATTATTCCATGCATTATTCAAGTTTCAACATTATTTTTTTAAAATCGTCCATATTGACAAATCTATTCAGCACAATATCATTCTTTTTATTAAAAAATATTTAAAAAATAAAATATAATTTTCTGAAACGTTATTTGAGAAAAATTAGGTGATTTAAAGTTTAATTTTCCGTCCTGGGCATGACGATAAACTACAACCGCGTCCTGGGTATGACGATAAACTATATCCAACAGCAAGGATTCTGATCAGGAGGTTTTGAGGAGCGTAGAACCACCTCTTAATTGCTGGTGTTCCCAGGTCCACTGACAGCGGGGTGGTAGCACTTGTTAGGGTCCCAACTATGGGGAAAATAGTTAACCCCCAAACTGGGGTCAAAACATTATGAAAGTGTAAAAATAGGTTTTAATACCAGCAATGAACTTTATAGAAAAAAATTATTACAGCAATAAATTTTTGAAAAAAATAAAATATTACCAGCAATAAAAATCTTGTCGGCATTAAATAACCAATTGAGGGTGATATACCGTTAAACAAACCAAACCAAACCAACGTATTGTGAGAAGGAAATAGGCTTCATTATGCTCCTTAAAGTAAACGTTCATGAAGGGAAAACTGTCTGTGTGGAACTTTCTCTTTACAAATCGAATACGGGGGAAATGTGAGGAATTCGACGCCGTGGACGTAACATGGCGAGTCTCAGCTATAAATGTCTGAACTGGTGGAACTAAAGAGGCGAGTTCATCTGAACATTTGCCATGGAAATAGCGGTTGAGATAAGTTTGCAGCGTGGCTTCTGTCGGAATGAGCTTGAAGAGTGAAGATTAAGTATTGTGCAAATGATTTTAGATTCTAAAGGCT